CGCTGATTGCTTTGTGCGAGTCAAACTCGCATCATTGTGCTAAGAAATTATCAGTATGTATCCATTCCAATTTTTCACCTAATCACATCGTATCGCTCGAGTATTTCCGGTAATATTGACACTTCTTGACAGTGCCCGCCTGCCCTGCCCTGCCCTGCCCTGCCCTGCCCTGCCCTGCCCTGAGGCGCCCTGCCGTATTCTGCCCTGCCGTACCCTACCGTGCCGTGCCCTGACCCGCTTCACCCGCCGCAGGAGGAACCGGAGAGCAAGCGGTTCTTCAGCTCGCCGGCCGTCTCGCTGCCGCTGCGCGACTCCCACCACCACCGCACCAACTCACTGAGCCCCGCGCGAGCCGGCCGCTGCGGCCGCCCCAGGTCTGTCAGCGGGCCTTTCGTCGCCGGGGGGGGGGGGGGGGGGCTGTCTCCCCGGAGGCGGGCGAGACATGTGTGTACATTTGTGTACATGTGCTTGTGTGAGTGTGTGCACGTGGCCCAAATGGTTCGGTGAGCGGCCCGTATCCCCTGGGATGTTGTTTTCGCACCGGGTCGTGGCATGCTCTCCCACCTGTGTTGGCAGTAGCTGCAGCGCGCCGCCCGGCCTGCCGCCGTCCGTCGGCGGCTCGGACGGCCGGCGCGGGCGGCGCGCTGGCGGACGCGTCAGCCTCGGTCAAGTGCACGTGTCTGATGGATGTGTGCACCGCTCGGGGAGACGTGGGAATGGGTGGCGGATGGTGCCGCCGCCGAGTGCTCGCGCCGGCCGCTGACAACCGCGCGCGCCGCGCCCTCCGTGCGGCAGGTGACGCGCCTGCCGCCGCTGAAGCTGCGCATCTCGCGCGACAAGGACACCGGCGACCTGACGGCAGTCAGCGGGCCGCCGGCGGAGAGCGGCGGCGGCGGCGGCGGGCGGCGGCGGCGGCGGCGGCGGCGGCGGCGGCGGCGGCGGCGGCTGGCGGAGGAGGCGGAGGAGGCGGAGGACACCGCAGGAGGCGGCCGCCGCCCGCCCCGGCCGCGCCCCACCCGCCCAAGGCGGCCAGGTACTGACTCGGTCCGACGCCCACGGAACTGGCGGCCGCGGGTGGAAGCGGCTCCTTTGGGACGGAGGGATCTGCAGGGCTTTGCTTTCGTGGTCGACTAAGGCTCCTCAAGCGCCCGTGACAATGTCGGCAGCGGTGTTGAGCTGTCGTCGTTTTCCCCTCGTCCCAATCGAGCAATCCGTTGATTTGCTGTCGTGAAGGAAGATTGTTGTGTGGTGTTGAAGAAGACACGGTCCGTTAACATCAGATCGCGCGGAATGGTATGTGACTTCCGATGCGCCGAAGCCTGGGAGCTAAGAACCGAACCGAATCGGGCATCATTACGTCCGCTTCATTAATCCGGTCTACGTGCGCGAAACCGTCGGAGTATGTACGCGAAACCATCTATCATCGGCTTTTCCGTGGACCGTGGTAGTACCGGGTACACCGGGCTCAGTTCTCTCCCGAGCTTTCAAAGTGTGCGCTAACCAGAGTATAGCACTTTATACATTGTGTTGCCATGACTATGTGGTCATAGCCATAGGTCATGTTCGTCGTCCTGTTTTTGAGGGGACCGCGACGCACGTTGTCGAGCGTCCTTTTATGTGGTGTCAGCAACCGCGGAGGTCATATAAGTGCTCAGGGGCCATGACTGCTGGGATGCGATCCCGGCGTTCCGCGTGGGAGCAGCCACTCAGTCATTTCGCGTCCTTCTCCACCGTCCAGAGCGTGCCGTACGTCACGTCACGTGCATGTGTGTCATGACGTACGTCACGTGCCGCGTGCGCCGTGCACGCACGGCACGCGATCGACGCGGCTGACGGGCGCCTGCCTGACGCCGTTGCCGCGCGCCGTCAGGTACGAGCCGCCGGCGGCGCGCAACGCCGTCCCCGCCGGCCCGGCCGGAGGAGGAGCCGACAGAGGGGCGGGCCGTGCGCCGCACACGGCGCGCCGCCTGCGCTTGAGGGCCCGCGAGCGCGTGGCCAAGACGGTGCAAGTACGGCGACGACGAGGGACGACGAGCAGCTGGCGGCGCTGGCGGCGCCGGCGCGCGGCAGGAGGACGCAGCGGCGGCGCGGATCGTCCACCAGCGAGCCGGTCGCTGCCGTTCCGGCGCCGGTGCCGGAGGGCGTCGCCCGCCGTCCTCGCCGGCGGTGCAGGGCGAGGCGGCGTCGCCAGCCGCCGCCTCCCCCGCCGCTTCTCCCCGCTGCCTCCCCTGCTGCCTCCCCTCTTGCCGGGTCCCCCGATGCCTCCCCTGCTGCCTCCCCTGCTGGGTCCCCTCCTGCCGCCTCCCCCGCTGCCTCTCCGGGCCTTGTCAACAATCAAGTCGTGGAGCGAGTCACCGAGCCGGCCGCCCCGGTCCCGGCCCCGGCCCCCGGCCCCGGCCCCGGCGCCGGCACCGGCACCGGCACCGGCACCAGCCCCGGCGTCAGCCCCGACCCCGGCCTCCGGTCCCGGCCCCGGCCTTGGCTCCAGCCCCAGCCCCAGCCCCAGCCCCAGCCCCAGCACCAGCCCCAGCACCAGCCCAGCACCAGCTCCGGTGCCGGCAGCCGAGGCGGCCTCGGAGCCGGTGAACCTGAGCACGCGCCGCCCGCCGGCCGACCTGGAGCGCCAGCTCAGCTCGCTGTTCGGCGAGCCGGCCGCCGCCGGCAACGGCGTGTTGGACAGCGTCGCCGAGCCGCAGCCGGAGCCTCAGCCGGAGCCGGCGCCCGGGCCGGAACCGGAGCCCACCTCCAGGGTCTACCGCAAAGGTTAGTCCGCGCCGCCCGTGGGGCGCAGGCCGTGTTGTCGCGGGATGCAGTGTCATGCGGGAGGTGCGCTGTGCGGCGTCACGGCGTGGTGTATGGTACCTACGTGCTGTGTCGCGTGTACGATGGACAACTACGCGATAAGGTATTCTCAGGTATGTTGGTGTGCGTGCTAGTTTGATCATGCACGCACGATCATTCGGACGTGGTCACGCATGGAAGTGGCCAGCCCTCAGTGGGACAGAATTTCCCAGAACCCGCTGACGCATTCCCAGAACCCGCTGACGCATTCCCAGAACATTCCCAGAACCCGCTGACAACATTCCCAGAACCCGCTGACACATTCCCAGAACCCGCTGACACATTCCCAGAACCCGTTGTCGCTAAAAACCGAGCGCGATTGGTGCCTGACGGTGTTGCCGTTGTTTTTGCAGGGATGATGAACGCGACGTACACGATGTTATGATCTGAAAATGCGGGATGAGTGATAGTAATGACGATAATGCGTGCATCTCACTTGCGGTTGTTCAGTTTCAGGAATTTCTTCTCCCTTTTGGTCAGAGACGTCGCACTTCTTCACCCTGGCCATGTGCACAAAATGCCCTCAGACGGTGACACGGCCCTGCGACTCCAGTCATCACACTGGCACGGCAGCCAGTGTCAACCACCGGAAAGGATGACAGGCTGCCGGAGGGGCAGGGGCGGGACGCGGGCAGCCTCCCGAGTGACTCCGGGGGTGCGCCTCGCAGGTATCAAGGACCTGGGCCGGTACCAGCGGACGCAGGCGAGCGGCGCCAGCCCACAGCGGTACGCCGACCTGGAGACGCAGCTGGAGCTGCTGGAGACGGGCAGGCCGCAGGAGCGTGAGACGACGCGGCTGGAGCGGCGGCCGGCCGGCCAGCGGCAGACGGCGCAGCCGCGCCAGCAGCAGCAGCCGCCGCAGCCGCAGCCGCAGCAGCAGCCGCAGCAGCAGCCGCAGCAGCAGCCGCAGCAGCAGCAGCAGCAGGAGACGCCGCCGCTGGAGCAGGAGCGCGAGGAGCCGCCTCGGGAACGGGAGACGGCAGCACCGCCGCTGGTCCGCGCCAGCACGGAGCCCGGTGAGTGGCGCAGGCGGCGCGGATGATACGAGAGCACGGAGTCGTTCGGGGCGCGGGTTACAAGGTGGTAATAACACTTCGGTGAGAAAACGACGACTGAAAAAGAGAAAAAGGCTTAGATGGAGGATGTTCAAGGGAAACGTGCTTTGTTGTTGTTTGGATCTCATACCCCTTGTTTTTATGGTTTTTTCTTTGTTTGCCAAATGCCGAAACAACGGTTAACCCATCGGAACTCACCGTTGGGCGAGTGTTGGCCGCGTCTCTGAGTCAGTGTCTGTCAAAGCTAGTACTGTCTGAATCGATGTCTGTCTCCGAATCTATCTGTCTCTTAATTTGAGTTTCTCCGAGGCAGTGTCTGTGTCTGAATCAGTAGTGGTTCCGAGCCAGGGTCCTGTGCCTGAATCAGTAGTGTTTCCGAGCCAGTGTCTGTGTCTGAATCAGCAGTGTTTCTGAGCGATTGTCTGTGTCTGAATCCTGTATGGAATGTTTCCGAGCCAGTGTCTATGTCTGAATCAGTAATGTTTCTGAGCAAGTGTCTGTGTCTGAATCAGTAGTGTTTCCGAGCCAGTGTCTGTGTCTGGATCATTGGTGTTTCTGAGCCATTGTCTGTGTCTGAATCAGTAATTTTCCGAGTCTGTGTCTGTGTCTGAATCAGTAGTGTTTCTGAGCCAGTGTCTGTGTCTGAATCAGCAGTGCGTCTGGGCCATTGTCTGTGTCTGAATCAGTAATGTTTCCGAGTCATTGTCTGTGTCTGAATCAGTATTGTTTCTGAGCCAGTGTCTGTGTCTAAATCAGCAGTGCTTCTGAGCCATTGCCTGTGTCTGAATCAGTAATGTTTTCGAGTCAGTGCCTGTGTCTGAATCAGTGATGTTTCCTAGTCAGTGTCTGTGTTCTGAATCAGTAATGTTTCCGAGTTAGTGTCTGTGTCTGTGTCTGAATCAGTAATGTTTCCGAGTCAGTGTCTGTGTCTGAATCAGTAATGTTTCTGAGTGAGTGTCTGTGTCTGTGTCTGAATCAGTAATGTTTCCGAGTCAGTGTCAGTGTCTGTGTCTGTGTCTGAATCAGGTAGTGTTTCTGAACCAGTGTCGCTCCCACCGGCCGTCGCGTCCGTGTGTCGGGACACCACGCCGGCTCCTCTGTCGGTCCTGACCTGACCTGCGTGCCGCTGCAGTGGAGCTGACCTCGGCCCTGAGGAGCTCTCGGTCCACCGCGGGCGCCGCCGCCGCCTCGGCCAAGGTGCGTACGCTGGGGGGTGGCCGCGCGCCCCTTCGTGGAGCTGCTTGCTCTCGGTTGACTCGGCTTAAGCTACGAGGAGCCTGTCACGTGTTCCCAAAACCCATCGTCCAGGTTGTACGGCTCCGGTTTGTGGGATAATTTTGCCACGACCGTGTCCAGCGAGACAGGACTGTGGGGATCGGCTGTTTCTTCTGAGCCAGTGTCTGTGTCCGAATCAGTAGTGTCTCCGTGCCAGTGTCTGAGTCAGTGTCCGTGTACAGCGCTGTGAGACGGCCGCCTCGCGCCGGGTCGACCCCTGCTGACACCTAATCACACCCTTGTCCAGTTGTCCAGTCTAGTCCAGTCTTGTCTAGAGCGGGCCGCGAGTTCATCCTAGACCGCCGAACCGCGGATACGGCACGCGGTGATGGATTCGGCGGGACAGAGTCGGTGACCGACGATTGTGGGTTCGATCCTCGGTCATGGAACTTTTAGTCGGTGTGGTGCGCTGGAGACTTTGTGTAGGACTGGTAAATAGCATAGCAGTTATACGTCACTTCTGGCTTAAGTGTGCATTTATGTTGTTCAAGGCGGCCATTCCACGACTGGTGCGCGGTGTGACCACACCAAAGTCGGTCATTTGGCAGAAATCCCCCGAAGGGTGCGCAGTCTGGCGGGTGCGGGTGCAGGGCGGCACCCATGGCGGCGTCTCTGCGCGGCCCTCACCCACCTTGGCTTCGGGGAGGGGTCAGAGCGGTGTTCAGTCAGCCTGACCTTGACTTCCCGGCCGCCATGCTATCGGTGACCTTCAGCGTGGCAGGCGGCGAACGGACGCGCTCGCGGCGTGCCTACGGACGGGACTCGGCCTCGATGTGAAGTGGTGGACGGACGTTTTTTGCACTTTGCGCGTCTTTGTCTCGCCCCTCCGCCTCGGTGCGTGGTTGGTCTCGCCCATTGCCATGCTTCGCTCTCGCTGATGTCGCTGCTGCCATCTGTCTCGATACGTGTATTTTCTCCCGTTAGCGATAGTGATTGTTTCGTTGCGATAGTGGGCTGGTAGGTTAGTAAGATAGTAATGGTTAGTAGGATATTCGGTGATAATAAGGTAGGTTATTGCAGTGGTGCATAGGATATGCAGTTACATGACGGTACGAGCCACAAACGGCACACGCCGATCTCTTAAATCGTGATATATTTCACCGAATTCATTTACGACCACGTCACCATCACGCATATCACATGTCATCCGTTTCTCCTGGACATCAGTCCATTGCCGCGTTCACGCCATTCAGTTACATCAGGAAGCCACCAGGGGCACAGCGGGAGGCCACTTCATGCATTAGGCAGCCACCAGGGGCGCGCCTGGCGCGCTTTCCGGGCACCTCCGGGAGCGGCGGCGCGCTCTGGTGGTCGCCTCTGATCTCGCCGCCGTCGTTGCCGGCTGACGTTCGCGCGAGCTGGCGTCGTGCCCTTCCGCGCAACACATCCTGTGCGCTGCCGCCTCGTCGGCACCCTCCGCTCCGCTCGTCGGCGCCCTCCGCTCCGCTCGTCGGCGCCCTCCGCTCCGCTCGTTGGCGCCCTCCGCTCCGCTCGTCGGCGCCCTCCGCTCCGCTCGTCGGCGCCCTCCGCTCCGCTCGTCGGCGCCCCCGCTCCGCCCTCAGGCTGTCCCTCTGAACGTCTGCGTTGCACTCTGTGTCGCTGATCCGCATGGTGATGCGGAGCTGGTCGTCGGCGAACTCGCGGATGATCTCGGTGGTACGGCCGTTCTGCACGGCCCGCTCGGTGAGCACAGCGCCCTGGCGGGTGACCACGCTGCGCACCTCCTTGCCGTCGACGGCGCGGCGGAAGCGGTGCGGCACGCCCAGGTCGAACTCGCGCACGGTGGAGCGTGCGGCCATCGCCTGGTCGAAGCGCCAGTGGTCGCCGACGACGGACACGGCGATGGTGGGCTGGGCGGAGCGGGCCACCAGCCGCGTCAGCAGACCGATGCCCAGCGCCAGCATGCAGGCGTTGGTGTTGTGCGAGGCGGCCAGCGCGTACGTGCCGCCGAGCTGCGGCATCGGGGCGACCTGCTCCATCGCTGATTGGCTGCTGGGGGTGGGCGGCGAGGGTGGCGGTGCGGTGCGAGCTGCTCGGGAGCGGCGCGTGCGGCAAGGGCGGGCGCTGGCGGCGGTGTGGCGGCCCGCGGGACCGTGCTATCGGCGTCGCCTCGGCGGCTGCCGCGGGAGGCCTTGTCCGCGGCGTGGAGACGGCGCTGGACGACGTCTCACTATCGACGCCCGCCGGCCCCGGTCGGTTTTTTGTCGGGGCGGTAATCTGCGGACAGACGGACCGGCGCGAGGCACCCTCGCGAACTCGCTCGGTCGTGTTCTAGAGGCCAGGTGTAGTCGCTCGAACATGGCGGGAGAGGAAAGACTGAAGACGCTGGGGGATGATTCCGCGCCTGGTGCCTGTGCGTGGAGCACGGGCCCATGCTTGGCCAGTACTTGTCAAGCTGCCAATTAAAGGGTGTGCCCGCGCGGTGTGCGTGTAGTCACGTGAGGTCTGTGATCGTCTCTTCCAGGTGTTTTTCGGTACTCACCGTTGTTATTGTCGCGATGGTTGGCTCGGTACCCATCACCTCGAGCATATAGGCTGTTATTGACTCGTACCGCTTCGCCGCCGGCATCCATTTTGTGATGTTGGCGTTCCAAGAAGTCTCCTAAGAACATGCGTGCAGGAAATCCCATCAGTGCTCAGTCCAGTTGCCTTCTTGCAGCGGTATCCGTCTTCATCTCTAGCCCCTGTTCGGGCGCAAAGTGGCCACAATAGTTGGCGCGTGCTAAAGCCCCCATCATCATCGTCAACCGGGCGTCGTTACTGATGAGCTCCCATGGCTTGGGAGGCCCATGCGGGTTGATGCAGCCTTGGAGTCCCACCCCCACTGCTTTCCGTCGCGATCCTCATATGTCGTTTTATGGCATCGTACCCTTTGTAGGCACCGCTGATCCTGTTGATTCAAAGGGAATGTTTTACATCTGAAGATTTTGAAATAAGCATCAGATATGATGAAACAAGCTCACTGGTAACTATTGGTGTACTTTAAGTGGAAAAGACTGCTCTAGACAGCTTAATTTCTCTCCTCAGTAAACGCGCTCCTCAATGCGCCTTGGTTTTATTACGCCATCGTACCTTGCACAACTTTGATTGAGAGCCAGTTGACGGCTATTTTACGTGGAAGTGGCGCTGGTGAAAGCCAGATATGAACGCCTCGACACTTATATTTTTGTTGGCCTTGATCGTAGCCCGGCTTATGAAATTGTAGGATTTGGTTGACGTTATGACGTCATGAATGTCAAGATGACTTTGAAGGACTCCTATATACCTTCCCTTTTCGTGGGCATGTATCTCAAAACATAGAAAAGTTGAGGTCTTAAGAAGGGCAGGATTGTGAACAGCACCGAAGGCTCTTTAAAATGGCTATTTTAGCTCAAACCCCCACATCAATGTGGAGCACTCCTTTAAACGTTTGCATCCGAGAACTTTCACTGGTTTTCCGCCCGTTAAACTGTTTGTGCAGGAAGACGATTTGAGTCTTGCTGCGACGGCATCCTCCCGCTGGTCTCAAGTGCACTTCGCCGATAAAGAAAGGTCAGAACCTCGCTGCAGAAAACACTGGCCTTGGTTTACTGGACGGGCGTGATACTGCGTCAGGTGTTCAGATGTTACAAGCGCTTGTTAATGACCGCGCAGGGACGTCCCCCCGTCCCCGGACGTGCCGATGCAGGGTGGCCGTGTCGTCCGGCTGCCGACGCGGTCCATGTGTACCCGGTGTTGCCGTTGACCGCCGCCGCCGCCGCCGCCGCCAGGGTCCGCCGGCATCGGCCGCCGAGCCGCGCAAGGGCTCCATCTTCAAGTCGCGCACGGGTCAGGGCCGCTCGGCCCGGGCCCGCTACAACCACCGCTGGACGGACGACGGCGACGAGGCCGGCCGGCCGCCGGTGGCAGCAGCCGCCGCCGCCGCGCCCGCCGCGGGTAAGTGCCCGCCCCCGCCGCCGCCGCTGGGGGTGGCAGCGGTCCCGGACGTGATGCCGACCCGGGGCGACGTGCAGGGGGGAGGGGGGGGGGGGGGGGTGGTAAGATGCGCGCGCTCGCGATTGCGTTGTTGTCTCCCGTTGTGGCGTGGCCGGCCCCCACCGCCGGTGTGGGCCCCAGCACGGTTTAGGGAGCGTGGTGTGTGCCGTGATATTGTCTCCGTGCATTCGTGCTTCAGGCCGTTGAGCGGCGCCCCCTGCCCGCCCCGTGCGTGTCCGGTGGTTGTGTCATCCCGAAGCGTGTCGCTTCTCCCCTCGCTTCGCCTCTGTCACACTACAAAGAGTACCGACAGTTCGTCGCCTGCCATTCCGCCCGGAGCGCGTCCCTTCCACCAGTTTTCTTTTTATCTTTTTTATTTTCCCTTTTATCCCTTCACTAGCTCTCGGCCCTCTCCGCTTTTCCGTTCCTTTCCGACTGCACGTTCGTGTCCGCCCCGATCGACTCCCCTGAGTGCGCCACTGCGTCGCTTTCCCCTCCCCTGAGCGCGCCCCTGCGTCTGACCCGTCGCCGGCCGACGCGGCGGCAGATTCGGCGCCTGCGCGCTCGGCACTGGACTTCGCCGAGGAGGAGCCGGGCGCGGCGGCCGGGCCGGGCCCGCTCAGCGGCCGCCTCACGCGGGTCAGCACCTGGCACGGCGCCGACCCCAACGACACCGGCGAGCACGTGACCAGCGTCAAGTGCCACCGCAGTGCCAAGGAGGTGGGTCACGTGGCGGCGGTGGCAGCGCCGGCGCGGCTGGCTAGTGGGCGAGTGCCTGGACCGGTCCTGAGGAAAGGCGGAGAGGCTGTGGGGATGCTAATGTTTGGGCAGGGGCGGAATAGGGACAGGAGCGGACGTAGACCTGTCTCAAGGACATAAGCTTTGCACAACCGCGCGGTCGAAGTGCCCGAAAGCCCCAATAACCATATCTCTTAAATGAGGCGGTTGGGGTACACCGGGCTTCTGGCTGCTCGTACAGCACCCGTAGACCGTATATTGCGGGAGAAGTGTATCGGCCACTAGCAGACAGGTGTTTGGGCGTCACACAGGGGGCAGGCGCGGCCCGTCCCGCACGAAGCAGCTACCGCGTCAAATGCTCTCATTGGTTTGATAGCTGGCATTGTCCGATAGCTAGCGCTCTAATTGGTTCGAAAGCGAGCGTTGTGCGGTAGCTAGCGCTTTGATTGGTCCGATGGCTAGCGTTATGATTGGTCCGATAGCTAGCGCTGTGCGATAACCAGCGCTCTGATTGGTCCACTAACCGGCGCTGTGTGGCGTGTCGGCAGTATTACACGGTGATCCAGAATGTGAAGAAAGCCTACCAGATCCAGGAGTTCGGCGAGTTCCAGGAGTACAACGACGACATCGAATACATCATGGACGCCCTGCAGCCTACCAACAGCGTGTCCACGAGGTGAGGCGCGGGTCGCCTGGGTCACGACCCGAGGTCAGACGGGTCACCTGGTCACGAGGCCAGCTGGCAGCGATGCTGTTGAAAGGTGCTCCGATGGGTTGCGGCGACGCACTCATCATGTCGGCATACAAACCACCATGGGATACTTGTATGTCGTGGCTTGCCGGGATGCATCCTCTGAGGCTGCGCGCTGGGACACAGCGGGTCCCAGTCATCCGGGCAGCTCTGAGAGCAGAGTTCTCCTGACCGTGTGGGCTCTTGACTCCATGTTCCCTAGGCCTCGGGTGAGCCGGGGCCAGTGCCCCGCAGCCGGAGATACTCCCCGGTCGTCATGTTCTCCTGCCCTGGATCCCTAGTACTGCCCTTGGGCGTTCCGCCATCCGGTGAGCCTGGACGTGCTGAGGCCCTAACGATGCCGCTCTTAACATGCTGTGATGCTGATGCTGCCACTGTGGCGGTGTCTGGGGTTGCAGGGTGCTCTCTCCGCAGGGTCCCAGTCAGCCGCGGCCTGTCGCTCCCAGTGGTCCCCCCCCCCTTCCCCGCGGTGTCTGGGACTGCAGGCTGCTCCCTCCGCAGGGTCCCAGTCAGCCGCGGCCTGTCGCTCCCAGTGGTCCCCCCCCCCCCTTCCCCGCGGTGTCTGGGGCTGCAGGCTGCTCCCTCCGCAGGGTCCCGGTCAGCCGCGGCCTGTCGCCCCCAGTGGTCACCCCCCCCCCCTCCCCCGCGGCGTCTGTGTCCGCAGTCCCCGCGTCACCCGTCTTCCCGGTCCTCTACCTCTCGATGCTGTGATAATGATGATGAGGTGATGGTGATGATGATGGTAGCGATGATAATATGCTTCCGTTAATGGTGATGACGACGATGATGATGATGATGACGATGATGGCAGCCATGGCGATGATGATCATGATGATGGTGGTGGTGATGATGACGATGACGATGATGTGACCTTGCCGTCGCCACCGTGCGCTCTCTGACCGCCGTCTGGGCCGCCGCCTGCCGCCAGGTGTCTGTCGGCCACCCGCCTGGCCGGCAAGTGTATGGCGGCGGCGTTCCGGATGCACCTGCGCGCGCACGGCACGGTGACGCGCTTCTTCGCGGCGCTGGCCGACGCGCCGTCCGACCCCAGCCTCTCGCTCTGCACGTCGGCCGTCATGTTCATCCTCAGCGAGGACCAGCTCAACATGGATCTGGACAAGTGAGGTCTCCTGCGGGAGGGAGGGGGGCGTGCGTGATGGGGATATGCGAAGCTGGCATGGGCGGGCTGAGGGAGGAGCGGGCGGGACAAGGAAGTGGACTGAGGTGAAGTTGAAATTAACAGTAAAGTTGATTTGAGTCGATGACTTGACTTGAAACAGCTGTGTCAGCGGAGCGCTGCTGCGGGTGGGGTGGGGTGGGGGGGGGGGGACGCGTACAGACTCAGTCGACACGCGTGTCGACTGAGTCTGTACGCGTCAGGAGCACTGGCGGTCACCTGAGCGTCGCAGGCAGACAGCGTGACCCGGCCGCTGCCCCGGGGCGATCGGCCTCCTGACCCGCCACCGTCTGCGGACGGCGTGACCCGGCCGCTGCCCCCGGGGCGAGTCGCCGCCTGACCGCCACCGTCTGCGGACGGCGTGACCCGACCGCTGCCCCCGGGGCGATCGGCCCCCTGACCCGCCACCGTCTGCGGACGGCGTGACCCGACCGCTGCCCCTGGGGTGATCGGCCGCCTGACCCGCCAACCGTCTGCGCTCGGCAGGAGCAGCCTGGAGCTGATGCTGAGCCTGCTCGACTCGGACGCCACCGCGCCGTCGCCCGAGTCGGCCGAGTCCAACGGCGAGCTGTGCAAGAACCGCGCCAAGGTAGCGTCGTCGCAGCCGGGGCCGGCGCGCGCTCTCAGGCCGGCGCGCGGCCGGGCCCGGCGCGCGACCTCAGGCCGGCGCGCGGCCGGGGCCGGCGCGCGGCCGGGGCCGGCGCACGCTCTCAGGCCGGCGCGCGGCCGGGCCTACGCGTTGCGTTGCGATGCCGTTTTGGGTTTCATTCAATCTTTGAGTGAAGGAAGTCGTGGCACGGGCAGGCAGCGGTGGTGGAGTCGCACATATGGTGGTGACGTTCCATCGTTATTATCTCGCTTGGCTGTGGAATCGCTAGGCTCCATCTGTGGCCTGGGCCCCGGATGCAGCAGGCTGTGGCCAAGGTCAGTCCGGAGGGACCGAGGTAATGTTGCTGATGGCACGCCTCTATTCAGACCGTCGTCATGTTTAATAGCAAGCAGGGGCAAAGGAACGGGCAGCACCGGTGTGATCACGGGGCGTAGAGCCCGCGTGGCGTCCTCCCCGCGTATGCCCCCTTCCCCTTCCGTGACGTCGCCGTCGAGCGCCAGTGCGGACGGCCCTGTGACCGCTCCCCGCCGCCCTCCGCTCCGGCTCCCCGGCTGACCTGGCGCGCGGCGCAGGTGCGGGAGCTGTGCGCCCAGCTGCAACGGCAGGGCCAGGCCAAGCAGCTGAACCTGGACACCATCACGGCCGGCCACCTCTCCATGGAAACGCTGCTCAGCCTCACCTCTCAGCGCGCCGGCGCCTGGTTCAAGGTGCGAGGCCGGAGGCCGAGGCCCGCCGCCGCCGCCGCCGCCGCCGCCGCCGGGGGCCGTGCTTGGTGTCGTGCCATGCGATGAGTGTGACGCCTGGCCGGCAATGGCTCGGTGGCGTGACGTCACTGCAGTGCAGTGGCGGTGTGACGTCACCGGTTAGCGGATTGAAAGTCGGCACGGCGGCGCGGCTTCGGCGCTTCGGTGTGGTTGTCGCGATCCAAACGGCCTCAAGCGCGCTAGGCGTGACTGGTGGGGACGAGTGCCGACATCTCACGCCCAAGAGTGTGTTGATGCCCTCGTTTGTGCAGCGCGCCTGGGCGAACGGCAGCGCCTGTTGCGCTGCCGTTCTTTAAACGCGGACGTGTGACACGCATTCGGCACGCGCCGCGCCGGCCCCTCGCCGCTGCGTCGTGTCCTCCCTCGCCCTGCCCATCCCCCTCCCACCATCCGCTCTCCTGTTCATGTCGCGACGCGTGCAGTGTCGCCGGCGGTCGCCGCCGCGGTGGCCGAGGTCACCGAGCTTCAGCCGCCGGTGGGAGGTGGAGCTGGTCCGCCCGCCCCGCCGCCACGCTCAGCTGACGCGTCCCCCGGTGTCGCTGTTGTCCTCAGGAGGAGCTGCGCGCTCTGGGCGGCGTGGATCGGCTGATGGGCACCGTCTCGGACAGCCTGCGCTGTCTGCGCCAGACGGACGAGCTGCGCAGACAGCGCGACACCATCGCGCGCGTCAGCAGGTGTCTGCGCGTCGTTGAGAACGTAAGTGAGAGCGTTGAGAACGTGAGTGAGAACGATGAGAACGTGAGTGGAATGTTGAGAACATTGAGAGCGTGCGTGTGACCGTAGAGAGGGTGAGTGAGAACGTTAAGGGCGTGAGTGACGTCCGACGCCGGATCGGTGTCGCCTCAGATGCGCGCGGACCGATGTCATGGCAGGCTGGCGTGGTGTCTCCGCCAAGCATACTGGCGTGCCGGTGTATGCTTTATGTTCCATGGTGGTGCCCTATTAAAGGATGGCGAGTGACCCTCCCGAACAGCCTCTGAAACGGCAGGTTTATGTCTGAGCAGGGCAGCCGTGTGGGCTTTGCTCTGTCGACCGATCGAGCGCATTGGGACGGCGCTGTCGGTTAAGGTCTTGTGTGCTGCTTGCCGACGGGCCTCCGGCGCCTGCCGGGCTGTGGCCCGTCGTTGTCCGACGCAAACACTGCGCGCCAGGCCATTACTGATGCACTGTACGAGCGTTTCGATGCCCCCCCCCCCCCCCCGCCGGGACCCCTTCGGGCGTCCCGGCGACCGTCCCCGCCCCCGTGTGACGCTCCGTGACGCTCCGTGACGCCAGGTGACGAGTCGTAACGAGGAGAACCAGCGGCACGTGCTGCAGTGCGGCGGCGGCGCCGGCCTGGCCACGCTCAGCGAGCTGTTCCAGCTGGCCGAGCGCGAGCTGGCCGACTGCACGCCGGCAGACTGCGAGGTTGGTGCGGACGGACGGGGCCGGTGCGGCGGGGTGGGCGGGTCACTGTCGGCGGGGTGGGCGGGCCACTGTCGGCGGACGGACGGGGCCGGTACGGCGGGGTGGGCGGGTCACTGTCGGCGGGTGGGCGGGCACTGTCGGTGAGGTGGGCGGGCACTGTCGGTGGGTGGCGGGCCACTGTCGGCGGACGGACGGGGCCGGTACGGCGGGGTGGCGGGCACTGTCGTGAGGTGGGCGGGCCACTGTCGGCGGACGGACGGGGGTACGGCGGGGTGGCCGGGCCACTGTCGTCAGGGTGGGCGGGTCACTGTCGGCGGGGTGGGCGGGCCACTGTCGGCGGGGTGGCCGGGCCACTGTCGGCAGGGTGGGCGGGTCACTGTCGGCGGGGGAGGCTGGTGCGCGGACGGTGGGTGTTGGGTGGGCGTGAGCGGGGCGGGGCTGTGACCCAGGACGTACGGATCATATATACGATGATGGTCGGGGTTTTGTGAGCGCATTGGCGACTTGGTCATTTCGCGTGGATCGCGGTCGCTGCCATGTGTTTGGGTGAAGTGGAAGCTTTGCAGATCGGTGGGTGTGCTGGGGTCAGACAGGTAAACCGGCTGTGATGTTAGAGCATGTAAGCCGGCTGTAAGAGCAGGGCCAGAGCGCACTTGCGTTACGTCAACCGTGACGCAACGGTCGGCCTGGGTGACGTGACGCGGACGTGACGTGATGCGGGCTGACCGGACGTCTGGGTCTGGGTCAGCGGCAGAGTGGTCTGGGGCACCGGGTCCCTGGCGGACGCTCAAGCACCCAGCGCCCGGCGCGGCCCCGCGGCGGCTGGGGCTGCTGCCGCCGGCGCTCGGTCGCCTTCAGGATAGCGTAGCTATGACGTTGATACATAGCGGTGGGATAACGGATAACAGAATAAAGTAACGGACGAACGAAGGTCTGGTCGTCACCGATGACGCGGTCGTTGCCCACACGGCTAATGTCTGTGCTATTTTTAGAACACGTCCGTTGTGAGCGCGTCTGTTGCCGTGGCCGCGGCGCCACGCTCTGTCGGCGCCCGAAAGCGGTTGGCTGGCGCGGCCGTCTGCGGCGCGGTGCCATCCACCCCGCCTCACAGCCCGCTCCCGCACCCGTCCGGCAGGAGGCGGACGGCGCCGCGCGCGTGCTGCTCGAGATGACGGACACCCTGATGAAGGTGCTGGTCAACCTGTCGGCGGCGTCGGCGGCGCGCGGCGCGCCGGCCGCGTCGGCGGGCGCGCCGCTGCTCGGCGCGCAGCCGGGCCTGTTCGCCGCCATCCTGCACGCGGTGCTGCGGCTGCCGGACCGGCTGCCCGAGCACCGCCAGTTCGACCTGCTGCTGCTCTCCATGTACCTGCTGATGAACGTGACCGAGAGCAGCGCCGAGAACCGGCGCCGCCTGGTGGCCGCCGCCGCGCCGCCGCGACCGGGGCGGATCATCGAAGGTGCGCCGCGAGCGTGCGGGAGTGGGGGGTGCAGGGCGCCGCCGCTGTGGTGATATGGCGGGAGTGCCGCCAGTGCAGGCTGTGAGCACGGCCCGCAGCGCAGGAGGATTTGGCGGTATCCGGTACTCATGTATGCCGTGTATATGGTGTGGCAGCAGCGACGCGAACAAATAGTACCAACTTGTGTAGAAGATTTAGAATAGGAGTGATGATCGGAGTATTGGTAGTGGTGACCTGACCCTGAGCGGGGCCTGACTCCGAACCTGACCCGAACCGACCATTAACCGATTCTGAACCGACCCTGACCTGACCCGACCTGACCCAACCGCGACCTGACCCGACCCTGACCATGACTTGATCCGACCTGACCATGACTTGATCCGACCTGACCCTGACCCGGATTTGACCCTGATCCCGGCTTCACCCCGGCCCTGTCCCGCCCCGACCCTGAACCCGCCCCTGACCTTGACCCCGCTCTGACCCCGACCTGACCCGGCCCGCAGTGTCGACCGGCTCGGCCGTCTCGGAGCTGCTGCAGATGTTCTACCGGCTGGTGGCGCTGGCCTCGGAGGTGGAGACCCACACGGACCGCATTCTGGACGGCTCGGTGCCGGCAGCGCCGGCGCCGGGCGCGCACGCAGACAGCGGCCCGCAGCCGGACGCCGGCGAGGTCACCGCCACGGCGCGTGAGTGCAGGCGCGAGGCAGGCGCGAGGGAGGCGCGGGCGCCGGCCGCTGGCGCCGGCCGGCGGCGCGCCGCGCTCGAGCGCGATGGCTGACCGCGCCCGTGGTGGACGGGTGCGGCGGCTGCGCTGGCGCTGGTGGCTAAGCGATGGGGAACTCTGACACAAGGGGCGAAGGGGGGGAATGGGGATAAAGTAGGACTGTGGAGATGGGTGATGGGCCGGGGTGAGCTGTCCGCGGCTCTCAAACCCTTCGTAACAAGAGGTGGATCGTGATACACGGAAACGTTCGCCAAACAATGTTGTTTTTGTTTTGCCGGCGGATTTTTTTTGGGATAGGCCTATAGCATGGTGAACCATCAGCCCGCCTACAAACGTGGGCAGTTTGACGTCATACAAGCTCGCGGCGAACAGTTCCTGTCCAGAATCCCAGAATATTTAATCATTCATCGGTCTAAATGTTATTCGCGTCCTTATCGGTTCGTAAAGTTTCGGTTTAAAATGTACAAGTATCCGTTGGTGCGCTACGTTTTGGTCTGAAAGAGTTCCGCATTCGTTTCGTGTGTTCCGCACCTGTTTGGGTCTCCGGCCCTCTGATGGGTGCAAAGTACTTCTGTGTTGAAGCGCGTCGTCACTCGATTGGTGGGCGTGCTGCTGCCGCTCAAAATCCGGCCTCCTGATTGGCGCGCCGCGGCGCTGGCTGCCTCTGATTGGCCGTATGTGCCGTGCTCCGACAGTGATCCAGAAGGCCGGCCACCACATGGAGAAGACGGTGATCGCTGCCTACATCGGCGTCCTGGTCGGCCATCTCGCCATGGATAACATGGTACGTCGCTGATCAACGGCTTTGGCTTCATGATCGGCGCCGGCATGGCCATGATCACCCGCTAGTGGGGCCTGAAAAGCCCCACGTTTGTTGGTGTTTTGTATTTGAACAAGCAATGATGAATCGAGGGGCATGACTGGGCTCAGTGATGAATGTTGCATGTACTATAGCATAAGTTACTGAACAAAGAACCCGTTGCAGATATTGTAGAGTGCAACATTTTGCAAAGTTTTGGACCTAGCCACAATCGTTACAATCACACAATGTATGTGAATACATGAACTCCATCAAGCGCCAGCATTTTCGCCCACTGTTTGGAAACCTCTCGCGTATGACACCCCCTCCCCGTCAGTCCCTCCCCACCCCACCACGCCAATGACGCCCCCTCCCCGCCGGTGACGCCCCCCGCCGGTGACGCCCCCTCCCCGCCGGTCGGGCCCTCTCCCCGTCCGTGACGCCCCCCACCCCGCCGGTGGCGCGATCTCCCCTCCCGTAACGCCCCCCGCCGGTGACGCTCCTTCCCCACCGGTGACGCGCTCGCCCCGCCGGTGGCGCGATCTCCCCTCCCGTGACGCCCCCCGCCGGTGACGCCCCCTCCCCGCCGGTGACTGCAGGAGTTCGAGTCGCTGGTGCGGGCGCAGCTCAAGGACGGTCGCTTCACCGACGTGGTGGAGGTGCTTCACAAGCTGCTCAGTTTCATGGACCTCACAAACACGGTACGTACTCTCCCACTGGCGGCACCGACCGCTGGGCTGGCGCGCGCACATGCGCACCCTGTGTGTGCGACTGAGGCGCGCGGGCGGCGAGCGGCCCAGCGCACGCGAACGGCTCCACGTGTGTGGAAGTTCCCGGGATGAGAGCCGCTGTAGGAGGGGCGCGGTGCTCACTATTGGTGCTGCAGTTCGTGGTGGTCACAAGTATGGGTGATTTAGCGTGGCATTTGCGCCTCGATTAGCAGCCACGTTTGCACTTTGTGATTTATGTGAAAATCCTGTCAAATGTAATGCCAGTTTTGCCGGTAATTATATGACGGGTTTTGTGTCGTCATTTAGCGGATTAAATGCGTGTTATCTCACTCACGTGACCCCCGTCCGCTGCCGCCAGGGCTGGCTGGAGTTGCTGATCCCATGTGACCTGGCGTAACCCCTTGTGACCCTGTGTGACCTGCCATCCGCCACGGCCGGGGTCGGTCGGGGAGGCTGAACCCGTGTGACCCTGTGTGACCCCGCGTGACCTGCCGTCCGCCGCCGCCAGGGCCGGCCGGAGACGCTGCATGAGATGCGCATCATGCGACGCATCATCGACTTCATGACGCGCGCCGACAACCCCGCCGGCGGCCCGGCCGGCACCGGCGCCGGTGGCGCCCTCTCCAGCGACCTGGCCGGCGTGCTGGACATGTCTCTCTAGCGGCCGGCGGCGCGGCGCCGCGCGCCATCCAGCGCGGGTCGCTGACGAGCCCGAGAGCTCTGCCAAGTTGTGTGGGAGTTGCTGTCCGGTGTGGGGTGCTGTGTGACGACGCGCCGCTGTCGTGTGAACGTGTCGGTGTGCTGGTGTGAACGGACGGGACTCCCCAGGCCGGCGGCCCGTCCGGCCCTGCGCGCGCCCCCCGCGGCCGCAGGCGCCTCAGCGAGGGCCGGCGCCGGCCGTGCCTCAGCAGGGGCCGGCGCCGGCCGCGCCTCAGCAGGGGCCGGCGCCGGTCGCGCTGCGCCTGCTTGCCCTCTCCGCGCGCGCCTGAGCGGCCTTCTCAGGACGGACGGTTTGGTGTCGCGCTCTGTCTCGCAGCGGCGCGGGAGGGTCTCCTCCCCCAGCGCCCGCGCCGCCCGCGCTGGCCCGGCGTCTGACGGCGAGCCTGACCGGCGCTCCGCCGCGGAGTCCGGGCCTGGCCAGCCCGCAGCTGACTGGGTTTCGGTGAGATGCCTGCTGACCCCGGGGCGGGCTGGCTGTTCGCCGGCGCCGCTGGGCCCGCTCGTGTGCCCGCAGTACGCGCGTCACTCGCCCCGCCGGCCAGCCGGGCGGAGCGCACTGGAGCCATGCCACGCTGTTCACCGGCATGTCGTCGGTGATCTGCACGAGCTCGGACAGTGCTTCCTCCATAATCTCGCCGCCCAGCACCCCACCGCCGGTGCGACCGCCGGGTCCCAGTCGCAGGGTATCCCCTCCACCCCCGCCCCACCGTTCCGTCGAGGCACGTGTGCGACGCCAGGCGCCTGACACGTGCGTGCGACGCTCGCCCCGACCGCAAGCCGTCCCGGCCCGCGTGAAGACTAGCGGGCTTCTAGCTAGGGTACCTCAGGTGCGAGACGCCGCCGACGCCACCGTCGGGGTCGGTACGCGGACCGCCCCAGGCGTCTGGGTGGGCCCTAGACTGCGCAGACCGACGGTGATGCCGCCCTGCGGACGGGCGTGAAACTCTGGTTCGCGCCGCCGCCGCTGCGGGTCGCACCGTTTCGTTTGTGATCTCCGTATTTGTGGGTACAATGTCCTCGGTCCGCGTGTCCAACTGGGCCGGGGATCCTCCGTTTCAGGAGACACGCGACTCTGTACATATCTTCGCCGAACTCGTACATTGTGCGCGGCGCCAGTTCCGTTTTTACCCGTTTTCATCGGCTCTGTTGGGCGACCGTTCATGCTCTTCGGCTGCGTGCGCAGGCGCATATGGGTCCGGCGGTTCAGGTCGGGCGCGCGCCGGTCGCGTTCTCTGCAAATCGCTGCTGGCGACGCCTGGTGGTGTGTTTTGGTACTGACGCTGCCAGCGGCCGCCGTGTCGTGTCGCTGCAGACCACCTTCCAGTTATTATTTATATGTTATGTAGTGGAAAAACTCACCACGTGCTCCTGTGCAAATTGTGAATACATTTTACGTCGACGCGGCGGTTTCGTCACACGTGCGGTGTCCGCGCTGAAGGCGATATCAGCGAACGCGTGGAGACGTAGGTCTACCGCCCGGACGCCTTATCCGGCCGCCGTGGCAATGAAACGTCGGGTGCTTCTGGATAACGAGAGGCTCAATAACTGATTACGGGTTTTTGGGGTGAATGAAGAATGGCTGACTAGCTGACAATCTTGCGGGAATGAAGAGGTCAATCGAAAAATGAGGGATTCCTCTCCCCGCAGTTCCCTGGAGGAGTTGCTTAAAGTACTTCGTCGAGGTGTCCCGGAGGTCTGAAGCTGAAGTCACCCATTTCTGTGCCGTTTGCGGTCCGATCCTGCCGGCGAGGCCGACGGTGGTCCGATCTTAGCGACGGGCCCTGGCCGACGGGGTCTGGCAGGCAGTCGGCAGTGGCTGACCGGGGCCGACCGGCCGTCGGCAGTGGCTGACCGGGGCCGACCGGCTGTCGGCAGTGGCTGACCGGGGCCGACCGGCTGTCGGCAGTGGCTGACCGGGGTCGGTCTGTAGTCGGCGGTGGCTGACCGGGGCCGGCCGGCAGTCGGCGGTGGCTGACCGGGGCCGGCCGGCAGTCGGCGGTGGCTGACCGGGGCCGGCCGGCAGTCGGTGGTCTGCACCTCCCGCGATACGATCGGACGGCGGCGCAAAAAGGCGGCCCTTCGTGTCCGGTGTGAATGGCTCTCACCTTCGGAGCTATTTCCCGCCCCTCGGAGGTCGCCCTGTGAGGCGTCCGACAGTGTCCGGCACTGGCCTCCCACCCGGTGAGCGCCTCGCCATCGGGGACACCCTCGGCCCAATCGCAGAGGGCTGACTAGGCAGAGCACCTCTGTGAACGCCATAAAAAACCCGTGATGAGGAAAAGCCCCACATCGGTGTGGAGGCCGCTTCCTCTCGTGTGGAATCGCGCGCGTGGTAATTTGGCGTGTGCTATTAAGCATATGGCCACTGACGGCAATTTCAAGAAGAGCTTAGCGGCGTTAATCGCAGGCATCTGGCCGGCCTTGAACGTCCGCTGATCCCCTACCCCTCCAGAAGTGGAGCGAGGGGCGTGGCTCGGCCCCAGGTGGTGTAATCTGGGCCGCGTTACCACGACGGCTCGGAGCATCCAGGGCCATCCGACGCTGCATGGTGCGCCGGGATCGGCGGCCAACTCGCGGCCAACTTCCTGTTGTCGTGCGCACAAGGCTTGCATCTGGCATCCCGCGCCTTTCATGGTGGTGTCTGTTCACGTCTTCGTTGCCACGTCGGCCCGAAGCCGTAGGTAAGCAGGAGGTCCTACAGCGTGACTCGTACTTTGGTGATATGCTTCTGTGAGCTTTGCTTTGAAGTTGCTCTTCTTTGAAGCGGCCGAAACTTGGTACAAACATGTTCCATGTGTCGGAGCGTGTTTTTCAATATTTCCGTGAACGCGCAATACAACAGCGGGCCAAATCGGGCTGACCTGTTGAGTTCGAGTGTTAAGTCAACTGGCAAGAACTTACAGCCCACCTGACAGTCGCATTTACTCAGCCACTTTTTCGCACATCATCCAAAAAGAGGTAGCGAAGGCCCAGGGAGTATTTACTTCACTTGGTTCAAAGACCACGCAAACACCCCGTCAAGTGTACTGAACGAAACGCGAACATAATGTCACGTGTAATGCAACCTTCCCAAACGAGCTAATAACCACCCGCATCCCTTTTGCTACTCCGTGATGCGACGAAGCGACGGATGGCAAATATCACAGCACACTCAGACCGCAATAAACTCTGGTACTAAATATTTACTAAACTCTGGTAAAAAAACTCTGGTACTAAATAGGTAAATATTCGGACTGACTCGTGACGTGACCACGTGACAACAAAGGGCCGGTAGAGGGGCGCCTTCCCTTGTTCAATGCCCCCGCGTGTTGAATTCCCCCGAGTTGAACGCTGGCTGAAGTGCCGCATAAACCGTGCACGTACGTAAATAAAGTTAACATCTCTCCACGCTGAATCTAACCACAGACCGAGGGCGGGTTGCCTGGCCAGTCCTGGGATCCGATTTTGCTGCTGCTTTCGTACGAAGGGGCTTACTGGAAACAATTTTGCGAATTGCCGCACGGCGAAACCTAATCGCTTCAGGACATGCGGCAGAAGCGGGGGAGTGCAGCGGCATTCGTCGTCGTGGCTGCGACACGTTCTCGGCGTCAAGATCAAGGGAAACCAAATGAAATCAGCGAACAAAGCGTCAGTGTCGAACTTCGAGGTCCAGAGGCTCCTGCTGACATCAGCATCAGCAAAAAACAATGCTGCAAAGGCTGCATGACATTCCACGAGTCATGGTTGATGGACTACAGACAATGATGTCCACATGACGCAGACCGAGGAGACCAATCCTAATGCCGGTGATATGTCTCGGTGCGAGCGCGCGAACCCTGCTGCTGCGCTCAACGCTGAGGGACTCCTGGTCAAGCCATCGACGAAAAAGCACGAAATATCCAAGCTTATTCTGTTTGCCACGCTTCGCTCTCTTTTCATGATATGTCCAATCAGTCCTTGCTCGGTTTTCTAGAGACGATTTGCGTTTGATTCCCCACTGATGTGGTGTGAAATGCTAGCGGTGACATGTGGCATCATGCCAGTGGTAACATGTGACGGCATGTCAGCGGTGACATGTGATGCCATGCAAGCGGTGGTATGTGATGCCATGGGGCACCATGTCCGTGGTGACATGTGATACCATGCCAGCAGTGTCACGGGATACCATGCGGCACTATGTCATCGATGACATGTGATACCATGTGGTACCATGTCAGCGGTGACATGTCACGCCATGTCAGCGGTGACATGTCACGCCATGTAAGCAGTGATCTGTCTCTTTCCTGGAGAAGACGTGTTTTCTGGCCGTTATCTTCTGTTTTTTCTTCAGGTCACGGCAGAGGATTTATTCGGACCCGATCCACACCTTGTCGGGTAACCGTAATCTGACCAGGGTGACCGCAGGACCTACAACAGCCGAGGTTCGGGCTACTCTGCTGTATCTCCCGACCACGCGCATACCTCTCTCAACCCACAATGTCTCCCGGCATGGCCTACATGGTGTGTGATCTGTCCGGTGGATTCGATAACTGATGCTGATGATAACTGATAATATATACTGATGATAACTGATAACTGATAACTGGAGGGTAGACATGGTAGACAAATCGATCACTGGCGTTCTCATGTCTCAAGCTTTCCAACATGACGGCAGAGAGCCTGTTTTCGAATGAATCCGCTGCTATCAGTCCCGTGCCAGGCACGTCGAAGGAAACTGCATCTTAGCGGTTCCCGGAACTCCCGCTGAAGAATTCGCCACATGGTCTGTCTCGTCTCCGGAACCGACAGCCTCGCTCCACGGTCACCAAGCAGAAGCCCTCGGCCACACCATATCACCCAAGAACGGAGGCCGAGCGGTGTGCCGGCCTTTCACCGGGCGTCCCCTGCCCCCCGCCCCCACCCCCCGGCGGGGGCCGCGTGCCGTGCTGAGGTGGTGGCGGCGGCCGGCGGGCGGCTCAGTGCTCCAGCTCCCCCCGAGCAGGCGGCACCGAGCAGGCGGCACCAGTGAGCAGGCACGCGAACACCAGCCACCACAGACTCGGCACCGGCCGGCGCCGGCTGACTGCGGACCGGCGTAGCGCGCTGAAGAAGCTCGACGGAGAGCCGCGCGAGCCCACCGGCCGAGGAGTCCGACAGAGGCCTCTGGAGAGCAGGTTCCCGCCGGAGG